ATATATAGAGAGAGAGAGAGAGAGAGAGAGAGAGAGAGAGAGACTTTAAAAATGAATACAAGAAAGCGTGTTTGAGATTTTTAATTTATGTATTATTAAAACATATTTTAGGAAAAAGAATTCATTAGCTTATACGATCGCAAAATACAATAAATTGATAAATTATTTTATTAGTGTTTTGTATAATTGCTTTTATGCATTTAAAATGAGCAAGATCGATAAAGACAAAAAAAAAGATTAATTGAAATATGTGCCGCTGATAAAGAAAAAAAAAGGAAATCTCTGATTAAGTCACAATATTTTAAGTTAGTTTATAATTTATTTCCATCATTTATTTTTTGAACAAAAACGTCTCCATCGTTTAATTTGATAGAATAATCTTTCATTTTCTGTTGAAAAGAAATAAAAACTGTTTTATTCATTTGGACAAAATATAAAATAGTAAGACTTTTTTGGTCAAAAAATAAAAGTTGGAATTAAACCGGAAACTGAACATAGATTTTCCCTAAAAAAACGACATTATGGTTTATATGGTTCGTTACAGTTATAAGTGTTTATTAGTTGTATAAGCATATAATAAAACAAATTATTTAAAATTATTTATTTAAATCAATAAATATTTTTAATTTTACTTAATTTTACTATTTTATATTTAAAATTATTTATTAACCAAAGAGCTTCTAGTCCAGCGGTACTGGGTGTTGCCCTCCTTCCTAGAGGTTGAGTGTTCAAGTCTTATTGGAGACATAGGTGGTATTAGGTGTAATTTAGGAGTAGTGTAGATTTGCTATTCAAAAAACTTAATCCAAACATTAAATACTTATTAGATGTACCAAAATCACAATAAAGTAACAAACATCTTAACAAGTAGAATAAAACAATAATTACCTATGAAATCAGTTGTAAGTCTTCCATTACTGAACCTCCCAGTAGGGTGCCCATCAATGAAGTCCATCCCATATGGCCGAAAATTACTCTTATCAGTTGTATCAAGATGGTTGTTATTTCCGGGATCCACACTTGAATCACCGAAAACAAACACACCAGTCACATTATTCTTCGCAGCAATCTTTCGTAATTGCACAACATCAATGGCTTTGGAAGGTTCGAACATGATCACAACAAGAAGCATCGACAACATGACCATGGATAACTTCATAGTCATGTAATGCATATTGCTCATATTTAAATTCTTTATTTATTGCAATATATAGAAGAGTGTAGACCAAGATGAGTGAGGGTTGTATGGAATATATAGGCCAACAAGAAGGGCTCATTAATTGATGTTTGGTTTGATGATTGAAATCATTTTTGTATTTTATCATCG